ATTGATCAGACCAGCTCACGACACTCGCAGCTCTGCTACTGCGACCCCGCTCGTGAGCTGACATGCGATCATCCGCTTCAGAGTTAAATATATCTGCAGAAGTCTCCCGTATTGGCGACAGCGCTCTCCTGCCTCCCACCGGCGACTTGGATGAACGACGCGAGCTGCGGTAGCTCGGTCCCGTGGCCTGTGGATTTCCCGTACTAATGGCATCTTTGTTTTTTCCTATGACTAGATTTGCTACCTTATAGTTCGCCTGATGACTGAGACTCGAGGTATTACTTAACCTTCTGTCACCAGTGAGCCGGCGATCGGGAGATAACCCGCTTGAATTTGAAGCCGAATCCACCGACCCTTCGGATCGTGATGTCCTAGAGGTCCTCGGACTCAAAGATTTCAAACCCTGTATATTATTGTCTTTATTCATAGCTAAACGCTTAGTGGCCATCGCAGTTACCGGAGTAAGAACTTTCACTGTGAGTATAAGTCGTCGAGTCATCTGCATCAAGGCACTCACATCTTGTATGGTCATAGTCCGCACATCCACTTTATTCACCTTAACAATCTCGTCGCCGACTCGTAACAACTCGAAAACGTCCACATCTGTTCCTAAAACAACACGAGACACAAAAATACCTTGTTCACGTTCCCAGCCATCACCCTGACGAATATAAAATCCCAGAGTCTCTCCTGGTTTACGCCGTAGCTCGATCGTACGCTGCAAAAACGTTCCGTTTTTCGAGCAGGCCTCGCGGACACCCAGCACGTGTCTGAACGAGCCTTGTATAATCTTTATAGGCAAAGGTGGACATGGGTCGCCTTTAGTATCAGGTTCTGTGATATCAGTTGCTTTCCTGATCGCAAAAAATTCATCTTCTTTCTCAGCCAGTCGCATTTTTTCAAAGTCTTCTTGCGAGACGCTGCTAAACCGACGTAACCGTTCCACTATGTCTTCGTCGCCCGACTTAGTCGCCGAAGGGAAGGCTTTTCCGTTCGGCGACGAAGGCTTTTTCCTCGCGTCTTCCTGCCGTAGAGCCATGTTTTTTTTTTTTTTACTCTGCGTTTCCTACGCGTCCATCAGGGCCGCCATATTGCTTGAATTCAAAATGAAAAGTTTGCATGCAATTAAAGAATATTGTAGCGACCAGCCAATCACCTTGTACCTTCCAAGACAGGTGTACAGCGTCACACAAAAACAAAGCTCAGAGCTGGTTGCCAGTCAATTTTTTCTTCGGCCGCAGAAAACAATTAAATACGTAGATATTTTGGTGTGAAAACCAATGAAAGGATTCCCTTTGAGAGGATATCACTTGGGGAAGTATAAACAAATCGCGTTTGATCGAAAACTGTTCGGAGAGCGAAGAATTGCTGCGATACATACCCCACGCTTGCGTGATGATTTTGCCTACTTCGTTAACGCTGTACCTATAACAAGAAGTTTTGATTCATTACAGCATTCATTACGGCGATATTTTCGATGGAGGTGGAGGCTCAAATTTACGGAAACGTCGGTAAATTGATTGCGAAGTGCAACAATGACGTGAACAAATGAAAGCGAAGAAGTTCATCTGCTTGGATACGAAAAAAATATATATTTATGTTTTCGAATTTTTAATTCTTGTCTGAATGAAGTGATATTTGTTTGCTAATAATCGCCGCTCGCTTTTTTCCTTTTGAATCGTTGAAATCAATTGAAGATTCTAGATCTGTCGAGAAGTGAAATCGTTTAAAACAAAATTTAGAAATGAGCTCTACCGACGCGTGATAGGTACGAGAGAAAATTAAAATCGCGCGATCGATTTCGCTTAGCTTCCGTGAAAATTAGCATTTCAACAAGGTCAGCCTGTTGTTGTCGACAGAAAATGTTTCGGTCTAAATTTTTGGCTCTATCCCGAATGTGTTTGCAGTTTTTGTTCGATAATCTACTTTGTTTCAAAAGCAATGGAAAATTACGCAAGGTTTTTTTTTGGTGACGTCAAGGGATTATTTTTATCCCTATTTCCGTTTTAAAACGTGTTCTCAGTCGATTGTAAAAACCACTTTAGCTCAAAATTACGTCATCGCTTCCAAATTTTCAAACTCCGCTTGTCGAGTTAAAAATGTCTCAAACTTCGACACCCATCGTCACGTTTCTATACCTTTCTATATTTAGATCAATCACTCATTCATTTCCGCACGTAAATTGTTATTCGCAATTGAATATAAAAAAGTGCGTAACTTAGTGTCAATCATTTTCCTGTGAAAACGGGAATTCAAATTTTATTTTTGTTTTCTGTTTTCCTTTGACAATTAAAAACGGAATTCGAACTTCTATTTTCGTTTTCCTGCTAAATTAAAAAACGGTGTTTAAAATCCCATTTTCATTTTTTTGTCTCCATGTTTTTATCATTTCTGTTTATCATCCTAACGAGAAGAACGTTGGCACCTCATGTCGTTAACAAAAAGGCCTGGCAACCACGGATGACATTTTGGCGGGAATAACAAACAAAATGGCTACCTTAGAAAACATGAAGGAAGTAAACACACAAGAGAATTTTTTGAAAAAGGGGATATCACACAACCTTCCTTAAAAATTTCTGAAATTTTAAGAGACTGAATAATAAAAGTACCGACACAAATTATCCACTCACCGAACTAAACAGACTGGGACTCAAAACCAACGAAGCAAATTTACATTTCGATTTGAAACTTTCTTGTTTACTTCCGTTCGGCGTGGTAATCGGCAAAGACCATGGCAGGTTTTTGAATAATAACCCAAAAATGACTTTTTTTTATTGATCTTTCAAAAGCGACTTTGAATTCTCTTTTTTTTTTTCCGCTTTGCAACTTCAACCTATTACTAAAATAATCTGCTAAGGAAATTGTTCATCTGTGACCTTGTCCACTCGTTCATGTTTTTTGACTTCCTGTCAATTAATTTTCTATCCTATTTATGTTGTCGTCCACTAAATTAAGTGTTCCCCACATCGTTGTATCACAGAAATCCTTGTGTCCTTCGCCAAAAATGATTCCACGCTAAAATAGTTACTAAAAATGTTGATCTCTTCGGGAGTAGTCATTGTTCATCGACTGCGGGACCCCCCTAAGGCTCTGTAATATTCAAATGATCTCCCCTCATTGGCAGTCAATTTTCTATAATACAGTCTCTCTTTTATACTCCGTCTGTGACGACTGATTCTCCTTCTGTTACCCTGGAAAACCATGTTATCCCCCCCAATAAAATATTCCGATCCCCCCCTCCCCTCCCAGGTGATTAATAATGACCGTTTTCTACACCCGACTGAGTGTCGTAAAAACATAAATTAAAGTGTTCGCAACAACCAATCAGAATTAAAGTTTTATATAACAAAGGGCCTATGAGAACTCAAAGTAAAACCATGTGAATCCCTGAAGCGCGGGAAAACGCAGTTAACCAAGACGCGATTGACTTCAGTTTTGAATCTGATTGGTTGATTGAGGGGTGCAAGTTTTTCTGGATCATAGGGCTAAGAAAAGCGAAACCAAAGCAGTTCCATTTAAATTTAATTTCTAATTTTCGAGGAATTTTCATTTCTGTTTAGATCAGTTTATACCAGGTTTTTGTACACGTAAATGGCTAACAAAGAAATCGAGCTTACTTTGGCAAGGAAAAAGTATTGAATATAAACCTTCTGTTTACTTTCACGAGTATGTGAAAATTTTTAAATATGATTCAGAGCCGCTATAACTTTTTTCTGAATGAAAGGCAAATCTTGATATACTTGTGGTTATTCTTTAATTGAAAAGAGAAGCTACCGAAGTCGCTCGTGAGCTTCAGGTAGGTGTGTCTGGGTCAAAATGCTAACATCGAGTGTTTCGTAAAGGCTCTTGAGTTGCTATGATAACCTCTTTTGTCATAACTGAAGATGTAAATTTTTCAAAGAAACTTAAAAAAAATTGTTGGTGCCGGTTTCTCGAAGAATCTAAATTGGTGTCAAGAAATAACAAAATAATTTTGAGCCGCCTCAGGAATGTTCCATGTACGCTTTCTATTGTTTTGGAATAGACCCCTTAAGCTTGTATGGTTTTTTTTTTACTCCCTTCAGGTCTGAGGCAGGGAATTCAATTATGCGTACATATCCACGTGACTAAGAGAAAATTTGAAAGAAACAGTTCTCTAGATCCGAAGGTCTGAGGTTCGATTCCTCATGGGGACTCAGAATTTTTTCTTTGTACCACGCTCGTGACAAGACGAAAAAAAACTTTCTTAGTTCTCTCGAGAGTTATCAAGGACCTAAAATTGGAAACAACACCTACAAGCTAAATAGGTCTATTGCATCTTCGAGGTTGACAAAGTGATGTCTGGATTTTCTTTATCGGACAGCCCCCTCTCTCCTGAAGTTTTCGCTTCATGGTGAAAAGGAAGAAAGGATGCGATCTAGGTTGTAAAAATTGTTGTGCTGAAGTTTAATGCTAGTGTTTTTAATTCGTCTGTGAGTTTCAGGCAGGTATGTCAGGGTCAAAAGACTAACATCGGGGAAAGAAAAAAGATGCGATCCCGGTTGCAGAATTTTTGTACAAGTTTAATGTTCGTGTTTTCTACTCGTGTGGTCCGCTTTGGTGATGTTTTGGCTGCCCCGGATATATGCGTTTGTTTTCAAAAGTGTTTTCCAAAACCACATGAAAACAAACGTGTATTTTGCAATTAGTATTAGTACTTGTTATTGCTTGGCAACATACTTTTAGTTGTTATTTTATTGGAATGCTTTTACGTGGTCATTAACAAACTGAGCCGAACCAGCTTTATGGTGGATAAAATTTAGTAAGTATATAACACAAATCTAAGATCGCTGATAGCTTTCCAAGATGAAACGGAAACTTTGTTCTGTACTTCTGTTTGATGAATGCCATGTATGTCGTGCCATCGATCATTTGTATCAAGACAGGTATTATGTGTATTGACACAGGAATGAATTTATTTTAATGCAAGAAAAAGAGAAAATTTGGTTTGTATTGAACATATCAAAACCGAAGCAGAAAAAGCGATCGGAGAAAAAGCACGATAACATACTTAGGTGAAAATGATAAACACCTCAGTATAAAGAAGTCACCACTTATAACATTAATCGCTGTGGCGACCTTTTACACCTCTCAGCTTTAATTTCTTGGACTACATATACCGAACAATTTACATTTTGTAATTGCGGTATTACAATTTTGAGACAAAGATATATTTACCGTGAGTCAGCTCATTGTTTATTTTACAAAATTGACTTTAAATTCAATTGCACTTTGAATGTTACGCGTTATTTTCCGCGACGGATGTAGATATTTCATATTTAATCTTTTCTTCAACTAGGATTTAAGGATGAAGCCACGAAAAAACGTCAAGCCTCTTTTGGTGGTTTCATTTGTGGCTGCTGTTTTGATGCTTGTGGAGTACGAGTACTGGAGTGAAACAGATTATCTCTCACCAGCCAACGCCGCGTTGAGACAGAATGTTCGTCTGACCTTTGAATCAAACACTACACTAAAAACAGAAAGGGTCCATTTTGAAGGCGAATCAAGATCCGAGGAGAAATGCGCGATACCATTAGCTTTAAACGCAGATCTTCATCATTTGAGTAAGACAAAATGGCCCTGTAAGTTGTCAATTTTGGACCCTTTTCATCCGCAAGTGATGAAAGCGATTACACCAGTGGCGTCACTAAACTGCAAGGGGAGGCTTTTTACGGAGTTCCAAAACGGAAAATTTCGACTCCTAGATGACGTTAGAAAAGGTTGGTAATTAAGCTATTCCAGACTCGCCATTGTATCGAATTACATGAAGACTTCGGCCCCATTTCCAAGATTATCTGAATACAAAGAGCAGTACCTTGTTGTTTGGGTGTATGTGGGTGTGTGTCTGTGTGTTCATATGCCGTTTCCTAAAGGGGTCAGAAGATTAATCTGAAAGCCCCGAATCACACATTTACACCTAACATCATATTTGGGTATGGATTTTTATCTTGAAAATGGTTTTTACTTGTATCATTACTATTACTTTTTACTTGAATCATTACTATTACTTTTTACTTGTATCATTACGATTAGTTTCATTTTTGACACAGATTGAAATTAAGTTGCTTACTTATCTTTTGCACACAACAAGGAGTGCTTAAATATTTGCTCGTGAAGCACAATTTCGCGTGCTTACAAAAGGTTTGATCTAGAGCGGGCAAAGTTTTTTTAAATATAATGTTGGGAGAGATGGCTTAAGTAGTCAAACATGCTCTTCCAACACGTTAGGCCCAAAAGTTTTACTGTTTAATCAGCGCTTACACAACAAGAGAATCAAGCTGTAATAAAAGAGAAGCTGCAAAATAAAACAGTAAACGAATGGTAAGGCACCTCTGTAAGAAAGTTCATAAAGATGCCCTGTTAGAGAAAGTTCACCATCTAAATATTTTTTAGTGTAGGTAACAAAAAAAGTACTGTTTCCCTGGCTGACATTCCTTTGGTTTAACATTTTAGAGTGGCAAGTGGTAAGCCAAATGAAATGTCTTATGTGTAACTCAACTTTACATTTCTCGAGCTGTAGCTAAAATGCTCTTTCTTTGCTTCTGTAGAGCATGAAATCGTTGAAGTCTTCGCCGAACCGATCTACCGTAAAACTGATTATGATGTAAAGTTGGGACAAAGGATCTTTGTTAACTTAACGAATAGGGAGGCAAGAGTAAATAGCGATTTTCTCAAAGTAACCGTTCGATTTAAGAACGGCAAAATCCAATCCGATTTCCACGCCGCGATTTCAGAGATCGACGACGTTGCAAAAGAGAAAGAAACGCACAGTGCACCCTTGAACATAATGATTTTAGCTTTCGATGGAACGTCTACCGCCCACTTCAAAAGATTGTTGCCCAAGACGTATGCCTACCTTAAAGATGGGCTGGATTCCAAATTTTTCAAGGGTTATTCAATTGTTGGAGAATCAACAACTCCGGCGATGACTGCTTTCTTAACTGGCAAGTCGGTGTCGGAGAATTGTGAATTCAAGGAAGCGAGACGAGGATATAAAAATTCGAGTTACGTGGACAAGTGGCCATTTATATTCAAGGAATTAAAGCGTCTTGGAATTGCTACAATGTGGAGTGAAGATCAACCTGGTATAGGTGAGTACTTTAGAGTAATTTTCAGTTGTTTGTCGAAAGTAATCCGTGATTGCATGGGTTTTGCTCTACTCTGCTCTGTGATTAGTCCAGAAAACTCGAGCCACTCTCTCAACCAATCAGGTGCAAAGCTAAAACCAATCACGACTTGATCTCCTGCGTTTTCCCGTGCTTCAAGCAGTTTGCTCGTTTTTACTTTGAGTTCTCATTGGCTCTTTAAGATATTTTCCTTCTAGTTTGATTGGCTATGGTTCCACGAAACTCAATCGTTAATCGCTCAAACATGTGCATGTAATGCATAAACAGTAAATGAGACTTACAGTGTTGTATTGTCTAAAATCACTTTACAATTAATTTCTTGGTTTAGAGCTCTTCAACTAATTTTATGGTTAAAAGTATAACTACATGGAAGGTAATACAAGCGAGTTGTACTGAGATGGAAAACGAGGCGATTGTATCGTCTTCTCATTATGATTGATTTAAAACTAACCTGACCGCTATTGAAGCAGAAATGTGCACAGTGGTCGCCCCTGAGAGAATAACAACTAGAGTAGACAAGCTTTTTGGCTTTTTGTAACTGCTTTTTCATTTAATTTCTCCTTTAGGAGCATTTCATCTCACACTAAAGGGATTCAAAGATCAGCCAACTGATCATTATGGAAGACCTTTGTGGTATGCAGGAGATAAGGGCCTTTGTTTCAGCTCTCAGCCACAGTTTGAATTACAACTCAGATATCTTAAAAGCTTTATGAAATCCTACCCAGGAAAAAGGAAATTTGGTTTCACATTTCTATCAAACTTGTGCCATCGACAACCTGGCCTAGCCCACGCAGCTGACGATGGATTACTGTCTTTTTTCGTTTCACTTAAAGATAAAAATTTGTTGAACGACACCATGTTCATCACAATGGCTGATCATGGTGCAAGATTTGGCGTCGTGCGTGAAAGCCCTCAAGGAAAGTTGGAGCACAGACTTCCACTTCTTTCTTTGACTCTTCCGCCTTGGTTTAAACGGAGTTATCCGGCGCAAATAACAGCATTGGTTAGGAATACCCGGATAATTTCCTCACCCTTCGATCTTCACAAAACGATGAAGCATCTGTTGATGTTTCCAGAGAAAACTTTGGTTCAAACGGATACGATCGGTAGCAGTCTTTTTGAACCACTTTCAGAAGACAGGAAATGCATTGATGCAGGTATTCCGGAAAATTACTGCCCGTGTTTAAGATGGCAACCAATTAGCATTGCTCATCCACACGTGCTTCGAGCTGTTAAGGTAGCAGTGAGCCACGTCAACGAGTTGTTGATGTCTCACCCAACGACAGCCAAATTATGCCATCGACTAGAGATGAAGACAGTGTTAGAAGCTTATCAAAAAATTCCAAGTCTTGAAATGCATCTGAATTTAGACCAAGAAAATACAACATGTAGTTATCAAATTCAGTTTCAGGCTACACCTGGTGATGGTGTATTTGAAGGTATATTCAGATTGGACTCATCGGGGAATTTCAGAGTCTATGGAGATATTGATCGTGTTAACAAGTACGGTGATCAACCTAAGTGTATTGTTGCACATGCGCCGTCAATGCGACCGTACTGCATTTGTTTGTCACAAAATACGCCTGACACCAGCAGACGGGTATAGCACTGTCTACCATTTCCCCCGTCCTCCCCCCTCCCCCCTTACGCTCTCTACCCCTCTCACTTCGTCCATTGCTCAACTGTGATAAACTGAGTACAAACAATTTTAAAAAGTTGTATCCAATCTTGTGTAATATTTACAGCAGATTACCATCTGTAGAGAACAGGTCCTCTTCAAGTCCCTCTTTCAGGTGTCTTTGGAACGTAGTTTCGTGTGGGTACAGAAGTATATTTATTCACGGATCTTCTCGCTGAAGGACAGAACTTATTTCTTACGGTAAGTGAATCGTGATCTACAAAAGGGGGTTTGCACATCGATGAGTCACTCAGACGTCGCTCAGGCTTGCAAATAGAGTCTACCATGGCTGAATGTTGTCTGTTTGTATTCTTTCCGTTTTTTCTTTTTCCGGTTCTCTCTTTCGGTTTACTGAGCGTAAATAGTATGCAAGTGCATTCCGTGTTAACTTGATGAAGCGCCTCCCTTGGTTATGCACCTAACAAAAAGAACAAAAGTATTCACAAGCGCAACCCCAGACTAATAGCCTTATCTAAGAATTTTGCGCTTATTCGGATAAGGAAACTAAAACACGAATGCCAATCAAATAAGAGACAAGTCTGCGTTTGTTTAACAGTCCTATCGTATCAGTAACAGGGCAATGGTGTTGTGGTGCAGAAGGGAACATAAAACAAGCCAGTGCAATAAACAAAACAGGATAGAAAGTAAATGGCATTGTCAACAGACAGTTTTTCTACATTATTCTAAGTTTCTTGTTGTTGTATTTAGGAGACTTGAAGATTTAAAATGAGTGCGCCCGCCCGCCTGATTAAGCACCCCGTCTGAGTTGCTAACAAATGAATTAACTTAGGCATGATCCCTTTCGAGTTGATCTGATGATAAAATGATTTTTGAAAGGGAAGTTTTTGCCTTCTGACAGAGTAAAAACACTTCTTGTCTCGTCCCCACATGATATTATCCCAATCCAGGCCTGCTCGGCAGCTTATAAGCAACTTTTGGCGTTTGGAGTAACTTTTCGAGATTCTAGCAACCTCGAGCAATTTTTGAAGACCTGTGGAAAGCAACTTTTGAAATTTAGGTAGCAAATTTTTGGAGTTTGTTCAATTTCTTAGCCCGTTTTTTGTATTCCGCTTTAGAAACTTTCCATCGTTTTACGAGCACAGTCTCAAGAACGGGCTATTCCAGTCTCTTTTCGCCCAGAACTCTTCCTGGAAGATGTCAAAAGAAAGCAAGTTCCGAGCGGCAGACATAGAGCATCGTGATCTCTTTTCATAACCGTTCACAGGCAGACAAAATGTAGCCTCCCTCTATTGCCAATTCTCGTTCCCATATCCAGTCCTACCGTGTAGTTGTAACGGAAATGTAGACTTGGTCGAGGAAGGTTTTTGGCATGTGAAGCGTGAATTTTTCAGAAAGAAGAGCGTGATTCGTGAATTTGTGAATCAGCGTGAGACATGATTTGCCCCCTGAAATATACGAGACTCATAAAAACCTCAAGATATCCCTGAAGTCCTATACACAAGAAGAGCGATTTGAAGTTTTCTCTTTACAATGTGACGCCTGAGTTTCTCTCCAATTCATAGGTGAAAATAAACAGGATCAGGACCCACCCTCCCCTCCCCCCCCCACGCCTTTGCTAATTTCTCTTTACATTTTGTATGGTACTGACGAGAATAATTTATTTTGAAAATCAGCCCCATTTCCTTTGTTCTCATTCCCTTTACATTTGATTAAAGGCAGATAATGTAAAGAGAAATTAGAAGTCACACGCTTTTCGGGGTTTATGTTCAATGCACGATCTCAACGATTATGCCTCCTCTCAAATCAATTTTTCCCATGTCCGTTGCCGACCACGTTGTATGACATCTGGCGATCCCTGAAACCTTTACACAAACACGAGGATCCGATTACTGGCAACTCAATCCTTTATTCAAAGACCTTGCATTGATCGATCCTTGTCTTTGCCAACGTAAGCCACGTCACAGTGTAAATTTTAGATTTGTCCATCGTCGTAACGTTGTGTTTGTCGCTAAGGACGAGAAATAAGAAGAGATAGAGCGAATCCAAAGTAACCTTTCGTTACGCTTAACACGGCAGTGAATGAAATATTCACCCTTCTTGCTTAGTTTAACTCTTTAACCCTTAAAAATGACTAACAACTAATTTCTCCTTACAACGAACGATTAAGGTCATGAGAATAAAGGAGATGATCACCAACTAAAGAAACTCTTGATTGTTGAATAAATTCTCCTTGTCAGCACCTTAGGAAATGTTTAGAGAGCAGTGCGGAGAATATGCATATTGATGTTGGGGAGTCGATTAGTCTTGTGTCCCATTCACACCAGCAAAAATATAACCCAGGTGGAGCTGAATAAAATTCAGCAATAAAAAAACTGACAACTAAATTTCACACATGGTTCAAGTAATCACTAAATTTAAATTTCATTGCGCTAAAAATTTGAAGTCGGCAAACATCAGGTTAAATAACTTCAATGAAGGAAAATTAATTTGCAACCGTGATCGACATTTTGTTTTAGCTTTGTAATAAGAGGGGATTTGGATTTGTTTTTTAAAAACTTTTTTAGGATTATCAAGTCTGTCAGTGCACGTTTTATTTCATGCTGCTCAAGAATTCTTTAGTCGTGTTAATTTTTTTTCTTATTCAAATAATTCGGCTAATCAATTCCTTTTTTTTAATTATTTTTGTTTGCATTTTATAATCATTTTCCTCGCCGCTGTATTTCTAGGAAAGTCAACGTCACGTTCTGAACGAGCTCGTGTCGGATTTATTTCCTATTGTGACGTATACTGTGTCTTCTACACCAAGAAAGAGCATATATTCTTGACATGCCTTAAGAATAGATTCTTGTCAAAGAAAAAGAAGATTGCAGTGTAAGATCGTCTTACAGGTCAACAATCAAACAAACAGCGAATTTATTTGCTATGTGTGAAAGTGTGACCTAGCGTCTGAATATCGCATGACATCTCCAAATACAGCTGAAAACAATAAGCATCTCACACGAGGGCTGAATTATCTGAAGCCATGAAGGTGAGTCCACGTCTCAAAACACTCATATTTGTATTTCTAAAGGAAGTATCCTCAATATCGATCCATTGTATTCACTAAATTTTGTAAATAGATCGAGCATACCGGTAAAATTTTGTTTCGTGTCGTATTCCCTGCGTTCGGGAATGTGTTCCTAGGTAGTAGTCATTCGTCTGAAAAACTATTTCTTGTCGTTGAAGGCGAATGAGGTACGTGTGTCGTGGTTTTGCTTCGTTTCGAAATGATTACCGAGTGCAATTTAATTTACTTTTCATAACTCCTGATGAAACAGAAGCGAAATACCTATTTCTTGTTATGGGTTAAATCGGCGAGGGGTGTTTGAGCGAACCCGGATAACAACAACAATGGAGGAATACCAACAAACTGAAGTGATACGAAGAAATAATATTGATGAATTTGTTAAATTTGAACCGCAGGAAGGGGAAGAAAAACCAATAGTTAACATGAGTTTAAACTAGAAAATTTCCCCGTTTATTCGATGTGGCTTTGATGTCGCATGTGTATTGAATTTTTATATTTAGATAAGTGATTCGCCAAATTGTCTAGTGTTTGTTCATTTATGTCTTCTTGCCTTCCTCATCTCTCTCGGTCAGAGTCCAGCAATTACTAACACAGATATATGCAATTGAAAATTACAGTTTATTGCGGAATGGAACCCTGCATAAATTGTACCCTTTCGTGCACGGGAAGTAGATTACGAAATGAAACGTTACACGAAATTGTGACATGCATTCAAATGACACCTTTTAGACCAAGTGGCATTAAGACAATCGAATTACTCCGGATAACCATCTGACCCTTGAAATTATTTTGTCTTTCTTCCCTTTTTTTTCTTTGGGGCTTCGCGCTCTGATGGAAAGCTACTTTGTCATTCAGAAAAACAGGATTTGTTTCCGCAAGAGTTGTCCTAGACTAGTATCAGTTTCGTACCTGTCGAAAAAAATATAAATACGGGTCACCTGAGAGTGTGGCCAGAGGTAGTCAATCAAAACAAAAGAAATTTAAATAAACTTAGTTTATTTATATCCGGGGCCTTAAAGAATGAGAAAAGGATATATTTAAAGGGCTCAAACCCACGACGGCGAAGGCAACGAGGATGTGGCAAAACAAAGGAAACGAAAGAGCAATAGCTCGGCTCAAGCACTTTGATACTTAAGTTTTCTCGAAACGGAAACCACTACTTTCCTTTTGTTGCGTCATGTGATATAGGCAAAGCTTTTGGCAACAGTAATTCATATTATTTTTGTTCTCCAGGCTGTCATTTTAAGATGCTTAGCTACTTCAAACACATTTTAAACTTCCCCTGTGTTCTACTACCGTCAGTATATTATAAACAGTTTAAATCTCTTGCTTAAGGCCATAGGAATAACACTTCGTCCAAAAGTCTTTCTCTTAAAATTTTGATATCTTGACCAAATTAATATTTCAGCTGAAACAAAATTTTAAAAATTTGTGTAGAGAAAAGAAGAACTTTGAAAATAGATCTCAGTTGAAAATAGATAATTCAGCTGTGTTAAACCTTGGGTTTGACTAGGAATCGATTTAAAGGGGAAAATCTCTCGAAAGTGAACGTCGAGACACTGCCATGAGATTCACTCGTACCATAAATTATTTACACCGACAAGATTTCACTGCTAAGTGCACTTTTCAAGTAGAATTTATTTGCTATATGCATTTGCTGTGAAAACTCGTCAATAAACCTTTTAAATAAAACATTTTACTCTGAAGTCCAGAAAGCTTTTTTCTAACGTGTGTCTGTCACAAGTCAATAACCCTACAAGTTGTTCCTTGGACTTGAAAAAGAACATTTGTCATACTTTCTCTGTCATGGTTGAAAACTGACGCATATAGTGAAAAGTCTCCCAAGTTAAAATGTTTCGCGAATTTTTCGATCACTGTATAGTATGGACTTATTTACTGAGTTGGGGAGGTTTGTGCGTCATGACCGAGAGCCAAATATTTCCCCGTCCGGTTCGACTTAACTCAGTCAATAAGAATTTTATCATATATTGGTCGTCATATGTCCTTAGCTCGCGAGGCAGTAGGAGAGCTTTGTACGGCCCTGTTCATGCGTTACGGGTCATACGAGCATTTTTGTCTAATGTTTTTCGATAAAAGCGCGCGCGCGGGCCGTGCGGTCTTGAGTTAGTATCTACAGTAATCGAATGTGAGACCTGATTGAAGTATTTCTATTGCAGTTATGTTTCAGGCTGAAACGCAGAAAATGGCTCAAACTCCTCTTCGTTCTCATCTGTCTTCTCGTTATAACAGCACTCCTGGAGCAGATGTACCTCGTCAGAATGAAACCTTACTTAAATGTCTACATGGCGAATGTCGGTCGTTCAATCGATCGTCCCCTTTCTACCGACTGGGACATGAAGCAATCCCGATCGAAATGCGCAATAACGCATAGTACTGACAACCATTCTGAGTTGGATGATGGGAAGAAATGCCAACTGCCCAATCTGGATCCTTTCCGTTCATATGTGGTGAAAGCTATCAACCCTGTAAGGTCGATAGACTGCGAAGGAAGATTGTACACTGAATATGAAAACAGCGTCTTTAAACTCCTGGACGATGTCAATGAAAGTTAGTCTGTGGCCGATTTGTTTGTTTTGTTCAGTTTTTCTCGTTTTCTTTCCAGTAATTGTTAAGCACCTAGAGGGGAGTGGGAGGATTTCAGGGGGGTTCAGTTGGCATTAGAAGAGTATAAAAGGGAGACATAGACATAGACTAGATACTAAAGAGCCTTGGTGGGGGGAGGAATGGGGGTGGAGGGGCAGAAGCAAAGTCCTCCGACCGCCCGGGCGATAAATAGAGATCATTAGATCTGATTTACAAGACACGAACTGACCTTATTTACTAGACATTTGAAGTCTGGCTTGCAGCTCGTCAACGTCTGTCACAAGTTTTTCCTAAAAGGAGAGGGTGCATTGTTTAGCAGGGCTGATTCGTAAATTAGTTAGCCAACTCGAAGGGTGTAAACTGGATTGGAGCAAACCTATCTCTACATTTGATCATTATCGATTCTTGCAAGCTCAATAGCTCTCATAGTATTCACGTCCAGCTAATAACAACGAAATTTGGCATGTTGTTAAATTCAAAGCTCAAAAACATGTTGAGGTGGCGTAGTTGTGGTTACACACTCCTGACCAAATCAAGCTTGTAAAGGAAGTTCTTCTATCATGATTTGCCACCCGAGCATAATCACTGCATATGACTCTGGGATGTTTGCTTGCCGAACTCATCGTTCTGGAAATGTAGGATCTTGTTTCTTTACGTTTCCTTGATGTATATATTGAAATCCTAAATTAGCATACTATTATAAAAACGGTTTTACGAGTAGAATCAAACATATCTGTAATTTTTAACCAACGGGAAGGGCGTGGGAATCAGCGAGCAACTTTTCTGAATGGGTACAGTTTTCAGCCTGCTCACCAGGCCTATATGAACTGACTCAGTTTCTCTTTTTTGTAGAGCATCAAATTAAAGAGGTTTTTGCAGTGCCAATAGTGCGTGTTTCAGATCAATATTCGGCCTACGGAGAGAAGACCTTTCTTAGCCTGAATAACAGAAGTGCCATTATGGTAGACGACTTTCTCAGAGTGACCATTCGCTTTAGAGACGGATCAGAGCAAACAGATTTTCACGCCTCGATTTCAGAGATTCCCGAAGTCTCAGAACAGAAGGAAACTCACAGCTCTCCCCTTAACATAATGATTCTGGCATTCGATGGAACATCTGCTGCCCACTTTGAGAGGATGCTACCCAAAACATATACTTACTTACAAGACAATCTAGAATCCATCGTGGTGAGAGGTTACTCAGTAGTAGGAGAATCTACGACGCCCCAACTGACGGCACTTTTGACCGGTAGGTCATTAGAGGAGAACTGCGATTTTAGTGAAGCAAGGAAAGAATACGCATCCTCCACATTTGTAGACGTATGGCCCTTCATATATAAAGATCTGAAACGTCTTGGAATAGTCACGATGTGGAGTGAAGATGATTATCACATAGGTAAGGCTTCCCTTAATTCTGTGGCTATCGCGGGTAAAAAAAAAGCTGGCAGGTAAAGTTTTCGGTGACAAAGTTTTTAATGTTTTTTTTACATGACTATTGGTGAAATTCCAGAATTTCTCTTGTTTCAAGAACATGATGTCTTCGCTATGCTCCTCGCAGTGAACGTACCGTTTACATCCTTGCAATTGATTATAAGAATGTTGTAATGCGTGGTATCCGGGGGGTTCTTTAGGAAGGTGGTTTTAGTTTTCACGAAGGGAAAGAAAAGGGTAGGATAACTCTCAACGCGTCTGAAACGCTCAGCCGTTGGTCTAATTTACAGGTTTTCCACAAAGGAAAAAAATATAATTTACCAGCATTGTCAAAATTGAATTAACCTTTTTTTCTCAAAAGAGCGATGTTTTGACAGCGTAGCTTTTCTGCCTGCTACTTTTATGTGAATGTGATCTTTTCATTTATTGCTCTAAAAATGTGTCCTAAAATTGCACTTTATACAAGACTTTGGATTAATATCTTTATGATAAACAGCATATCTTGTTGATTATATCTCTCGCTCAAAGACCAACTCAATGGGCTGGTCATTTACACGGGATCTAACCGGCCAAGAGGCTTAGGCTCTCTTTACAAGAGGGTTAATTTAATTAAATAAATTTCCTTCCACTGTTAGCTTGCAGTCCCCTTGACACTTTCACAGAAATAAATATTCAGTTAAAAGATTCAACTAAAGTGAGGAGTTACGACGCGGTTTTGTTAAAAAATGGCTGACCCTTGTTTAAATAATCGGCCCAGTAAGTTTCCCCGGCCGGCAATGTAAAAGCTTCTATATTAATTATGATGAGACTCTCCGAAGAATAGGGCATGGACCTGTACTTTGGATTCAGTCTCTTAGGTTTATCATCTCTTGATGGAAGCCATGTAATCGAGACAGCGCCAGCGCTTAACTCTTTGACTCCCAATATCTCAATAAAAATTATCCTTACTGTCTACCATATACATTACCCAAGAGTTTTGTCCCTGAGAATTTGGTTTTTGATCAAATGGTTATCCTCTATTAATATTTTTTGCTAATTTCATTACTTAGTTTCGTGATATTGTATTGATATCGTAAGGATATATTTATAGTTTGGTCATCCCTGAGAGTATAAAAAGTTAACATGAAATAGCAGATGTTGTTTTATTTTTTGTCCTAAAGGTACATTCACTCTTAGACTAAACGGATTCAATGATCAGCCCACGGACCATTATGGAAGAACTTTATGGTTAACCACGCCAGGCGAGCTCTGCTTTAATTCTCAGCAGCAGTACAAGGTACAGCTGAAATACCTCAAAAGCTACATGAAATCATACCCCGGGAAGCGAAAATTTGGTTTCACTTTTTTTTCCGACTTGTGTCATCGTGAACCTGGTCTTGTCCATGCTGCTGATAGCGGAATAACAGCCTTTTTCGAGTCTCTTCAACGAGAGAATCTTTTGAATGATACCCTGTTCATTACAATGTCCGACCACGGCGCAAGATTCGAGGAGGTGAGACAAAGTCCTCAGGGGAAATTGGAGCAGCGACTTCCATTTCTTTCTTTAACGTTTCCTTCGTGGTTTAAACGCAGCTATCCCGATCAAATTGCAGCTCTGGTTAAAAATACTCACATCATTTCGTCACCGTTCGATCTTCATAAAACGATAAAACATCTATTAGCGTTTCCGAAAAAGCATTTTATCGAGACGAATACGACAGGTAAAAGCTTTTTCGAGCCATATTCTATCAGCAGAACTTGTAGCGATACGGGCATTCCGGAATATTACTGCCCGTGTTTAAAGTGGCACCCCATTAGTGTAAGTCATCCGCATGCAACGGAAGCTGTCAGAGTTGCGGTGGACCACATCAACAAGCTCTTAATGTCACACCCGATGACAGCCAAACTATGCCACCAACTTAAACTTAAGATGATCGCTGAAGCTTATCAGAGTCAACCAAGCAGTGAAACACATCTTACGTTAGATCTTGAACAAACCATATGCACTTATCAAATTCAATTTCAAACAACTCCTGGCGATGGCATATTTGAAGGGCTAGTCAGGATGGACTTATCCGGGAATTTTAAAGTATATAGTAAATTGGATCGTATTAACATGTACGGCGATCAGCCGCGGTGTATTTATGATGCTGTGCCGTCCATACGATCGTACTGTTTGTGTAAATAATAGTAATAGTCTTAAACGAGGGCTATCTCCTCTGCCATAATTGAGGCAAAGAAATATAGAAGAATTTATTGCATGTTGATGACAACGGCATTAGATTCCGTAGAAACTCCGGCATTCCTTTACTTTAAATCAACTGATCCTCCGTCTGTTTTCCCTGTAAACCATGTGATCCCCCAGAATCCAATTTGAGAGCAATACGGTTGTCCTCGAACGGCCATAAAAAA